AAGAGTCATTAGTTTTAGTCACATCCAGATGCTCAAAGTGAGAGATTAATAAATAATAAATAGGAGTAGCATCAATTACAAATGCCAAAGGGGGATGATGTCTCTGGATGCATTTGCTGACTGGTGCATATTAGGAAACCACAGAGTGCTTTTAGCTTTGACTCCAACATTAATTTTGGCAGCAGAAAGAGGTTTTATTAAAAGTACTGACAATGTCATTCATCTTTATTCATATTACATTTGTTACAAGGATTTAAACCCCAATATGGAACTATGGGGAGATGAAAAATTTGAAATTGACTCATCTGATCATAAAAATAAATGAAACTCTAAACATGTTTTAACTAGTAAGAAGTACATTTGGGTATTATGTATTATATTCTCATACTGGAAGGTGGTACTGATACGAACTATTTTTCAAGGTTTGTTTTTTCTCTAAGGTGTTTATTTTGAACCCTTTACAAACTAAACTATTTGTAGGTATGCTATGATGGTAGCCCATAATCCACAGGGGAAAAATAAATAAAAGGTGGAAATTCGAAGAATTGAAACCATTCAATCATTATTTTAAATATTAAATTCAAAGGAAACAAAACTATTCTTTGAAATACTAGCCAGTAATCTAAGAGGTTCAAAATCCCACCGTATGTCCATTTACTCAAAATTGTCTTTTTTTTAGTTAGTTTCGTTTTTTCAGTTAAGTGCTGAATAGTACATAGATAATGCTAGATCTTTTCTAGGATGTTCCCAAGCTGAAGTTAGTGGGGAATTTAAGTTACTTGCAGTCTGGGACCCCTAACCAGAAATCCAGATTTTTCTGCTGCAAATGCAAAATTTGCAAAATGAAAAAAAATATTTCTGATTCAAATCCCTACTGGCACCACTGTGGCAGAAATTACAAAAGCGCAATGGCCTTTCTGTTTTATGGCATTGACGTAACACCACCAGAAATGGAAGAACACAACTCCACCCCAACACACATTGGCAACACTGCGGCTCTGGTGCTTAGCTTTTGGAGGTGACAAATGAGCACTTCATGTTGTTCCTGGTGTAGTATAAAAGCTGTTTTCCAGCTGTGACTGTTCTTGAGTAAAAATGCCTTTAATCAAGTATCACATCTCAACACACAATAATCACCTACAAGTACATTTTATTCTCAGTTCTGAAACTGGATTGTTCAGTGAGTGAAAAGTTAAAGATTTTTAAAGGACACTGGGTTTTTATGGGGTTTCTTCCTCGTTTTGTGTTTGTTCATGATAATGTTATCGTTGGGGAAAGGGGGGAGTTTATGTTACTTTGAGTATCTATTTTTTAATGTATTTCTTGACTCTTTGGAACTTCTTAATCTAAACTTGTTTGTGTTTTAAGGTTTATAAAAATATTTGCCATCAAAATTATTTCTCAGTAAATATTTTGGCTTGACTAAGCAGAAATATACATGTAGAGGGGCTTATTTTTTTTCCACTATATGTAATTGTCTTTGTATAAAAACTAAATTTCACATGCTGTTTGTTTGCTAAAACATTCATTCAGCCTCTGAAGATCTGGCTGTGCTGGCTGTTTGTACTTTGTCAGTTCCCTTGAGCAGTGGCTTGAGAGATGCTACACTTTACATAAGTTTTTCTTTGCTGCTTGGAAACATGAATTTTATAAGCATATTCTTTGTAATGGGTCCTCCCAAGGAAGGGTTTCACAGAATTGCTGACAAATGGTTTGAGATTTGGGATATTTACTGTAACAGATCCCAGAGGTCACAAGAAAGTTCTCTTTTTTGTAAATTTAGAATCCAGCCCAGCCCCGCACTTGAAGGATATGAATTTCAGAGATAGCAGAGTAGAGCTTGGCTGCAAGTTCTTTCATTCTGAGCAGCAACTGAACTGTGTTTTGCTTGGTCCCAGTATATTTTCCCAAATAAATACTTATTTTTGGAGTATGGGATGTAACCATCACTGAACCTACTCATTTCATTACCTACTGCAATTCAATTAATGTGTCCTGAACTTTCCAAGCATACCTTGTCCCTCTTCTCTGTGGCAATCAGGGTTTGTTTGACTTCACAAGGATTGTCCAAGGTACAAGTCCCCTGACCATGAATATTTTTGTTTTGTAACTGAATTTTTGTCTTCTGAATTCTGGAATCTTGCAGCAGCACTGAAGTTCTCCTTCAGCTGCAGGTCAGGCTCTTTGAGAGAATTGTTTGGTAGTAGCTTCCCCTAGGATACATACCTGTGCCCACTTTCCCAGACTGCTCTGTCAAAGATGGAAGAATGGGAAGGAAGCTCCATGGGAATCTGACACACAGCAAGGTGAGAAAATTCTTTCTTGTCTTTGAAGGTATTTCAAACTTCACCACAGGTCTGGTGTGTCAGACATCATGGAAAGTTTAGTAGCTAGGCTGAATTCTCTCTGTGGATTCTAAACTCCTGGGTCCCAGTTGTTTTTCTGTTCACTGATCAACAAACCCCTAAAGGAAAGTCCCTTTAAATGGGGAAATATGAGGCTTTCAGTGGGGAAATATGAGGCTTTAAGCTTTCACTCAAACTCCTTAATCAGTATTCATGCAATCCAAATGTTATCTACTTAAAGGAAGACCTGCATGCGTGCAATTGGTTAGGTGTGTTCATAGACGTGTGTAAACACACAGTGCAGAATCTGATTTCTAAGATGAGTATAACAATTTCTTTTGTTGCTATTATTTTCCAAGAGCAACAAAGGACTTTTAAAAGCCAAGCTACTGCTTGTAAGTTTAAAGGTACAGCAAAAATGTAAACTCACAATAAATACCTAAGTACAAAGGAAAGCCAGAATAATCTCCAGCACATGGAAAAGAGCTCTGATACAAAACTGATTGTAGGAAAAAAATGCTCAAAGCTATTCTTCTGGCTCTCTCGTGATGGATTTGTATAAATTGAATGAAAAAGAGGAAAATTGGTGTTTGTTAAGTGCATAAGCATGCTCAGACCAACCTTGAGACACCTGTTTATGTTTCAAGGTTGGAAGATGAAATAACAGAAAAGTTCAGAACAGAGCTCTCCCAGCAGAGAAGTTTTGTGTTTTGTCAAACAAGTATCCACATAGATTACAAAATTCTGTATTTGTGTCACACTGTAGAATTGTATCACAGTATAAAATCAGGTGTTGACTGTGAGGAACAGTAGATCTAGGTTCAAGCAATCCCAACATTCCACCTCCCTTCTTTCCATAAAGTGCTGGGTGTTGGTGTCTAAATAATTTCACATCATTCTGCATCAGCTTCCTATGTCTAAGACAACAGCATTGATATTTTTTGGCTTTGGAAAATGCTTCAAAATCTGCCAAACATAGGAACTAGGAATAAATATGTATTATTGTTGAAGTCAGAGATACCTGTGGCATTGAGTTTTTTAAAAGGGTCACAAAGGAATAGAAGCAAGGTTTTTCCCTGGAAATGAAAGCACCTCCAGCCATAATTTTTGAGAAAACAAGACTAGAATTTGTGAGAAAGCAGAACTAGATATAATGCCTTTTTAAGGACATGGAGCCCAGTGTGTCCTGTTCCAATTCTGCCTCTGCTCAGGACGAAATATTCAAAGACAGTCATATAACAGACATGATGACAACGTTCCCAGGAACACATCCAGGAAAGCTCTGGGCCTTCACTAAAACCCTGCTACTTCACTTACACAGCAATGGATTTTTCTAAAGGATTTTGAAGTGACTTCCAAAGTCTCTCAACAATTCTGAATCAACTGTCCTTGAAGCCATTTTACACATAACCCATCCTGATCCTCACCATAAGGAAGGAATTCAGGAACATCTTTCACAACTGTATTAGTTATAAACTCAGGTGTATGGACTTTCCTAATTGACACGAAGACTCTCAGAACCAGTTCCCCTAGCCTTAAAACCTTGTCAATCATATTCTCTGAAGACTAACACAGTTTTGCTAATTTTAAGCCATGTTCTCAGAAGTGTTTAAAATAACTCTTTTGTTCCATAATAATAGGGAAACTGAAAGAAACTGTGAGAATGCAGAATGTAACTAAGGAGACTGAGCTACTCCTACTTTTTTCTCTGCCTGTCCCCACTGAAGATTTCTACTCAGTTTGCTTTTACTTATTTATTTTCTCTAATGAATGATCTTGATATTCAGCTACCTGGGTCCTTCCTCAGAATGCAGCAGTGATGATTGTCATCCAATTGTTAAGAAATGGCATATAACAGCAGGTTGGAACTGCTCTGAATAAGGTTTTAAAAAAATAAAACAATGGGTAAAAAAAAAAAAAAAGGGTTCTGAATAGACTCAAGATTGAAGCACAGCTGAAGTTTAGACATTGTATAGGCTTCTTTTAATTTCGACGCAATGTCAGGAGAAATGAGAGTTCTGCTTTGCTTTAGAGACCAAATGGAGAACTTCAAAATAATTCAAAATCTCGTGAGTGTCTCCTTGGCTCTCTCCAGGGTTCACAGAATTAAGGGATACAAAGGCAGACAAAATGTTATGGGATGGGAAATGGCATGATTCTGGAATATGAGGTAGAGTTTTGAGCTAGTCTATTAAAAATACATACCTGAGGTTACAAAGAAAGGAGGCAAAACATAATTATTACTTAAGCAGTATTCTTATACCATCTGAGGAGCTTTGCAATTTTGAGAAGTGCTGATTTTTCACTCTTTTGTAGAAAGCATAATTTATACCTGTTTGATAACAGTCATTGTTTCAGAGACCAGGAACATCTTTATTTACCATAAGAATCATGCAGTATTTTCACTCAGGTAGCATGTAAATTTTGATTATAACAGTGGTATTTGTATGAAAAATTTAATTACTTTAAGAAGTGAAACTGCCCAAAGCTTCACCTAACTCAGGATGCTCCCTACAAAGGGGTTAATGTCAGCTGATTGAGAAAAAGGTGAAAGAAATTTTGCAATGGAGAATTGTGGAGCAACCTTTCTACAGAGAGGTTTTCTGTAGCTCTAACCCAGGACCAAAACTGTAACTTCAAAGTGGACTAACAAAATAACATTAAAATTTGGTTTATTAATTATCTATACCAGATCTTCAAGTATTCACAGGTATTTTCAGCTAAACTTTTAGTTACAAACAGTATTTTTGCAGTGTATAGAAACAGATGAACTTATATCTGGTAAGTCCACTTAATTCTGGTGACTTGCGTATTCATCCAGTGAACAGTACAAACTGTGGCAGTTCATGGATCTTGTGAAAAATTAAGATTAAAAATTAAAAAGAAATTTAAAAAAATAAGAAAATGCCTATACAGCAGCTTCCGGCACAGGATTCTACAAGGACAGCAGAATAAACCACATTGTGGCACACAGCAATGTAGGATTCTTCTGACAGGTTTTAAAATGCAGCAAAACTTTGTCAAGTGAGATTTACAAACCAAACCAAAGCCCACCCACCCCACCTGGAACAACCTCCCCTCTGTAAACAACCATTCTCAATCCTCAGGATCCCTCCCCATAATAGCAGCGTAACTGTACATCAATCAAACTTCTCACTGAAGAATAATATATAATTAAGTCACTGCGTCAGAAACAGGAACTATTGCAACAGTTGTATTTTTACAAAAGAATAGGTGCGGTGAAAGCATTGGCTGTGTGTAAATGTGCCATAAATACTTCTGACTGATCCTGTTTCCTTACCCAAATTCCATAGATTTGAACACTTGGCAGAGCACAGACCTGTGGACACAAATTCCCTTTAGCTCTCATGAAACAGAGAATGCATAAAAATTAGAATGCAAGGAACAAAATAGAGATTCCTAGGAGAGGATAAAATCTGAATGTGTATTTTATTAAAAAAAAAACAAACCCCAAACCATGTTTAGTTATTAGAATTGCACCACTGGTAAAATGATGTAAAAGAAATCTAAGGAGGAAAAGAAGGATCTGTATGATAAGAATGTGCAATGGGAAAAAGCATGCATTGGTTTATAATGATATAATTATGTAATTTATTATATAATTAATTCACACTGCAACTGTTCTAGTCAAATAAAAAAACTCAATGCAGCTATTTTCTCAAAGAAGCAAAATGTGATTTTCTATTTGTTATCAATCTCAATTATTCACTACAGATTTTTTTCTGTATGATCCACTGCTAGCTGAAAATTTTCCACAAAACCTCATAAGATTGAGAATTTTCCTTTTAAAACAACGATTTTTTTTTAAAATCCTTTATGTATATATACCTTTTTTTGGCCTAATGTATTAAGTGGTCATTCTTTTGCACATAAATGGTGTATTCCCAAAAGGATATTTTAATCTCTGCTAAGCCTAGAAGCAATCTTTAACTAAAAAAATGAAAAATAATAATAAAAAAAATGCTACTTGCCTACTATAAGTCTCACTTAAATTTAATGACTAAAATATTGTGTGTAACTGCTTTTGAAATCTGTAGGCAGGCAACTTTGCAAATACCTAATAAACTTGTGGTGTTTCTTAAGCACTTAGATTTAATCAGTATTTTCCAGATGGGGATGCTGGATGAATCTCTAGCCTCAAGAACACTGACATCCCCATGTGCATACAGTGTGATGAGATTTTAATAGGATAATTCCTGTCCACATTTCAGGGGTAGAACAGAAATTTCCCGATGGTTACTGGAAAGAATATTAGATATTTGGGACAGTAATTCAAGAAAAATTATTCTAATTTCAGTATATTCCTTATTTTGTTATTTGTAAATCTCAAGATGATGAATTAAATCTTTAGTGCATCATAAAAGTTATTTAAAAACAAACACTTGATTATTATAAATCAAAGCCTTAACCACACCAGGATCTAGTAGATTTTCATAACAGACAGCCAGAATAATAGCCAATCCACTTTCCTACAGTTTAGTTGGCAAACCTGCTCTTTCTTTTACTAATTAAAGGTAACCATACCTCCCTTCAGAAAGCATTACAGAAGGGAACACTTCAGTTTAAATTCTAGGAAAGTGTTTGCAGAAAAAATATCTGCCTCTTTAACCTTTTGTGTTGTTGTTTTTTGTTGTTTTGTCTTTTGTTTATTTTATTACAATGTATTTGTGCTGAATAGGTTTTAATTGAAAATTGTCTATAACGCTGTGGGTTGTTTTACTATAAACCAACTTCGGATGCCAAGTAATCTCACAATTTAGCTGGGTATACACAAATACTGGGAAAACCCCCAGATTTAGACCTGTGATAGGAGGAAAAGTGATGCAATACTGTATCTCTACTTACTTTTCAAAATTAATTGGGGTTTCAGTATATGAGTTCTAGTGGAAAATGATTCCATTTTGGTAATATCTCTCCTGCCTGGTTTACATGAGGTCCCGTCTGCAAGACAGCAATTGCAATTTTTATGCTTACTATTTTTTTCCACTACTTTCTCTTTCATGCTAACGCTTCCAGAGCAGTCATGGATGCTGTGAGGAGAATATCAAAAGAATGCTCTGGAAACTTTGCCTGACTACCTTTTTAAGTAAAGCTGGAAAAAAGAAGTTCTAAACTACACAATTGCTACTTGTCAATTCCTGAGGGAAAGATCACAGAAGAATCACAGATTTGTTAGGGGTGGAAGGGCCCTCTGCAGATCACCCTGGCTAAAGTAGTCACCTGGAGCAGATGAAATAGGAATAGTGTGGATATGAATTTGGGATGGCTCTAGAAAGGGAGACTCCATGCTCTCCTTGTGCAGCTGCTCCCTGCTACCCTCATGGAAAGAAGCTCTTCCTCGTGTTGAGGCAGAACTCTTGGTTTAATTTACAGTCATTGCTCCTCGTCCTGTCGCTGGGCATCGTTGAGGAGTCTGGCACCATCCTCTGACACGCCTTAGAAAAATTTTTATTCGTTAATGAAATCCCTCCTCAGTCTTCCCTTTCCAGACTAACCAGGCCCAGCTCCTAAAGCCTCTCCTCAACACTATATGAAGGTATTTATCGATTGCAAGCCTCTTGTGAGCAGCATTTTAAGGCCTGTGGCCTCTTTCCTCCTCTGCAGCCCGGAGCGCTCACATTTAACGTGGTGCGGAGGCTCTGCTTCTCCCAGCCCTGAGCTTAAACACCATTTGTGGGTTCAGTTTCATGTCTTTTTGTTCCCATGCGGCTCTTTCAGACTTGTTTTCAGCCTGCAGGGCCGGCGGGACGACCGCCCGCCTGCGCCCTTTGTTCGCCGAGGGAAGAGGGCGGGAGGCGGCAAGCGCGCGGCCGCCGCCAGCGTAAGGGGGCGAAGGGCGTTGCCCGCGCGGGAACGCGCACCGCGAGGCACCCGGGAACGCGCGCCGCCCTCCCTCCCTCCCGGCCGCGCTGGGCGGGTGCCCGGTNCCCACCTCCTGGGGCTCCAGCTTCCCCTAAAAAAGAAGTGTGTTTGTAGCTGGAGGAGGAGGGGAAAAAGGTGGGGGTGGGACTGATTCCCTCTCGGAGGCTTCCAGGCGAAAAGGGAGGAGACCTCGGATCTTGCGGGGTTCCATTTTTAATTATAATTATGCTGTAGTGGTCTTTGCTAGACGGTTTTGGGGTTTTGTCTTAAGCCACAAAAGGCGAGTATCCCGAGCGATCCAGCCGGCAGAGGGACTATTTTGAGAGAGATTCAAAGGAAAAAAAAAAAAACCAACCCAAACCAGTAGTGTGGCTGCTGTAATGGTGGAAAACTGATTAAAGAGGAGCCGGGGGTGAGACAAACAGGGTAAGGCTGCTTCCAGCACCCCCAGCCAGCCGAGGGCTCGCAGATGGGGATCATGCTGGGTGTGCTGGGCGAGGGAGGGGTAGGGAAGGTTTTGTTCTCGTTAGAACCGGAACAGAGGATGGATTCAAACCGCATATTTGTTCCCCCATGTATTACGGTGCTGCATATTTTTGTGTGCCCGTAGCAGCGATAATGAAGATCATGGAGGGTGTTTGCTACAATAAAAAGATGGAGTTTTCTCCTTGGAAATGCTTGAGTTCCCAGCTTTTTATCGAAAGGATTTCAGCGTTATTTTTTTATCCATACGAGGAATATTGAATTTTAGTGTAGGATTTTTAATCCTACAGCTTTGTAGGGAACGAAGACGTGTAAAGCCTTGTGTGTAAATATGAAAGAGATGAGGCGTTTTATTAACAAAAAAATCTTATCCAGAAGAAAATCAGAACGATGTAGAGGTTGTTGTAAGATGTCAATTTATCATTCCTGAAGATGAACTGAAATTTTAACGAATGTGATTTTTCATTATTCTTTAACAAAGTCATGGCTAGGACTCGTTTTAAACCAAGCATCCTTTCTAGGATGTGCCGACTGCCACGTTATTATGTATTGTCTCCACAGGAGGAAATAGGAGGAAAGGACTGTAAATGTAAGGCTTAAGTGATTATTGAAACAGCTTTTGAGAATTGTTGGCTCAACTTGGAGAGGTGATTTAAGACCGAAAAATTAAACGTTTAGCTGCTGTAGGATATCAGCAGCTAATAGTGAGAAATTTATCCCATATTTTAAGCTGATCGGGACACCAGGATGTGAATTAAGACAAAATGCTGTCGATGTGTATGTGTAAAACGTGTGAGGAAACGAAGATGATGTGTTAATACCTAAATCCGTCCCTAAATGTGATAGATGAGATTTTATTTCTCTCCTTTGTGTGCTTGAGGAGAGGAGAAGAAGGGGTGATAATAGTGTAGTTGTTTTGGTGGCTGCATATTAGCCAGGGTGTCTGTTTGATTTTCTTTTTGCTGTGAATGAATGGATCTCTCTGTGCCTGGGCCCAGTAGCTGCAACAAGATGGCGTTTGCAGCAAGGCAGCTCTCATTTTTCAACTCCTCCTCACCCCAGCTTTGCCAAAGTAGATCTTATTTCGTAATCGTGTTTTAGATTTACTTTCTCGTTCTCTTTGCTTTCTTCTGTTCTGGGGTGGGGGTAAGAGAAGCATTTGGAAGATTGCTGCAAGAGATCTGTGGGGGTTTTTTTTCCTAATTTTTGTGAGCTCCTCCGGATAGGAAATGGGTGGGAGGAGTAAATAGTTTTATCGAAATGTTCACATAGGCTCTTAACTGAATAAAGGGGTGACACAATTTTCGTTTTTACCTTGCAGTACCTACTTAACACCACCAAAATCTTCCTCGTTTTTATTAAGCCTGTTGCTAAAAACCGGTTTTTAAATGTAGAGCACAGGTATACAAAGGCCGCTGGGCCGTGGGTCTCTGCTGGCCAGGTAATCATCAGATGAGAGCCTTTGCATACAGGTGTCTTTCTGTGACACAAAAGAGTCTCCTGTCTGCTTCAGAACACTCACAATTTGTGGAGGGTTTAAGACTGCTGCTGACCTAGAATTACTGCCATCCTCTGGATAACTGTTCTTTTAATGGTCAAGAATCAAAAAGGCTTGGGGGATGTTAAAACAGTTCTGTGTCTGAGTAGTCTGTTTCAAAATGACATTACAAATTTCTGAAGCCATTTACATGTATTTTTTAGTGTCTTTTGACAATAGAAAAGAAAGAGAAAAATGGACTTTTGATTTGTAACTCCTGTGGTATTTCACTATAGTGCCAAACTCTTTAACTTTGGTAGCCTAAATAAAATAGCTCAGTTAATATTTGATATACTGAAATCAAGCTTAATATGCTTCTCAGCAAGAAAAATAACAAATGCTTGTTATGTCTCCTGTATTCAAGTGACCTCCAAACTTTAGATAATTTCAAACATTTTAGTACTGTTTATCTATTACTTAATGTGTAATCAGTTGTTTGTTAGTTTATTGTAGTAACCCAGCTGTAGCTGATGCAGAAGGAAGCTGGGAAGCAGCAGAGCTGATTTTCAGTTGAGCCTTCTGGTGCTGGTGGGTTTTTTTTGATTAAAAACAACAACAAATAAAACCCCAAAACAAAACAAAAAAACACCAAAACCAAAGAAAAGCTGAAATTAGCTGAGTGCATTTTCCTCCTCTGGTGTTTCAAGAACTTTTTTTCTTTTTTTTTTTTTTTTAATTAAGAATACTGTCTAGTAAACTGTTAGTTCCATTTGATGTTAATGTCCTGTTAAACCTGAAATTACTGGGCTTTTTTCAAAAAAAGGAGCAAAGTGAAATGAGATTCTGTTTTGGGTAAGATGAATTACGTTTATCCTTGTTGAGTTCTTGCAGCTGCTAAGTCAGTATGTAGCAGGCATCCTAGCATGAAATCTTTGACAACATGGTAAATTAAAATTCCACAGGAAATCTTAGCAGAAGCGTTTTTTAAATCACCACTGTGCCTCATGGAAATGTGGAGATGCTTCTATTTGGATTTAATGAGAATTCTTGTGAAAGTAATCAATGAAGTTCTCTATAATCAGGGAGTGGATAGAATTTTGTGTAGCATTATTCTTAATATCATCCCAGAAGAAACACTGCATAGCTATTAAAAATTTAAAACTTGAACTATTAAACTGGTTTACTTAGAATAAAAAAACCCTTCAATTAATGCAATTTCAAACCCTTTAATTATAGTAGAAATATATATTGTGTTTGTAGGATGCCTTTTCCTGAAATGAAGCAAGATGTTGGCTGCGCTGCGTAACTTCCTGTTGCTTTGGAGGCTTCGATCTGGTCATGTGGAAAACAGCTAAACTGCTTCTTAAATAGTAACTTAGTTGCAGTTTCTCAATCCCTGGAAAACCAGATGCCAATTCATCTGAAACTATTGTTGTTTTTGTAGATTCCTACCAGGCCTGGAGCTGTGGTTGGGGATGTTAACCAAGTGTTGAGTTCAGCTGGTTTTATAGTTACTGCAATAAAAAATTGGGCTTTGTTGTTTGTGCTCCATGAAACCAGTGGTAGATTTGTCTCCTCTACTCCAGGCTCAGCTCATGTTCTAGGCACTGAATTGGATTAAATTCTTACTGTCCATGGATTTTGGCTCTCAGCATTAGTGGATTTGTAATTGATATTCTCAATTTTAATATCCAGTTTTAGCCATATGGCACACCGTATTGTCTCAGCAATTGCATTTAGCACTGCTTTGTTATGAACAAGTTGAGATGGGAAATTGGGCATTCCAGTTGTTTAATTACCCTTAGGTGAGTTGTCCTTGGAGTCTCTCACAAGTCTGTGGTCATGGCAGAATTTTAGATGGGGTCTTTTTTTTTAACAGGATTTTACAGGTTATGTTGCCAAAAAAAATAAATAAACAAACCTTAAAAGCAGCTTGCTTGCATTAATGAAATGTTTCTTAAGGATGTGACTGAAGATAAAGTAGACATTTTTTGAAGGGAGTCTTTTGGTTGCTTTAAGTACAGACTGAAAAAAGAATACATACTCCATTCAAAATGGTTTTTTTTTCTCCCCACTGATAAAGTTGGAACTAGTATGAGCCAAGGTCATGATAAAAAACAAAAATACCCCCAAGCCCCTGTGTTTATATTTAACATAGTGTCTCAATTTATTATTTCTTCACAGGGTGTCCAGTGTGCTGGGGATTTTGTGAGTGTGGATTTGTTTTTCACAAAACAGAAACATATGCCGAATCCATAGATACTTGAGCCAACTGGTAGTTGAGCAGAACATTAAGAGGTTTTTAAAAGCTTTGAGCTGGATATGAGAAGTACCTTTACTTGAGATGCCAAAACAATCGACGTAAATTACTGTGGAAGGCTTCCTAATATAAAAATATGGATACTTCAAGATAGGTTTTGAGGCAGAATACTGCATTTTTATTAAAATAGTAGAGGATTTCTGAGTAGAGAGAAAGGAGATGATTAGACTTGGAATAGAAATACACACTTAAAAATAATTTTTTGATCATAAAAATCAGATCTTGGCCTCTTTTTAACAGCTGACCTTCTAAAATGAGTTTGTTGCAATTAATATTTTGTATTAAATACAAAAGAATTAATGTTTGAATGTACTAATGTCCACTGCATTTATTGGGGTGGTGTAGAATGTTATGACTTGTTAGTCTCGAAATATAATGGAGTGTTTCCACCTGTCTGAAGGGTTTGAGTGTACTGGCTACAGTGGTGATGTTTGCCTTGCCCAGTATATTCTTAGAAATGCAGGAATTTTCTATCTTGAACCCAGCTAGGGAGTAATGACAATATTCATGTTTGCCATCTGGAAGCAGCCAAGATGTGGTGTTGCTTGCTATGTATATCTTACGCTCGCTTTTAGTGGGGATGCTGGAATTAGATGCCTACATGGGAATTTTTTTATGCATTAGCCAAAAAAAAATAGTTTTTTGGGGATGTTATGGAAGTGTAATTTGTAAGGAGCCGTGGAAATAATAACTTCTAAATTCTCTCCAGGATTTTCAGCACTGGCCAAAAGCGGCAGAAAATACAGATACGTCCAGGTGTTACGCATGGACCTGGTTA